AGGTGCTTGTGATGTCATTGTGCAATGGGTCTATTCAAGACGTTTCACTACGTCAGTACCTATTTTTATCCCTCAATAAATTTGATACTTTGATTAAATAAAATCTCTCAATATAAATGTAATTTGATTAATAAATGACAATAAAATTGATAAAATTGACTTAAAAAGTATTTTAGTTATTATTATTATTATCTTTATTTCCTCCATCACTGAAGAGCATTTACATTATACATATTACAGATAGTACAAAAGATCATATATACAGTAGATATAAATACAAGATTGTTTTAGAACTATATAAATTAGTAAAGAAAAGGCATAATTATAATATGTACAAACATACTAAAAGAAAAATAATGCAATTAATCTGTGATAATGGGTCTATTCAAGACGTTTCACTACGTCAGTACCTATTTTTATGCCTCAATAAATTTGATAATTTGATTAAATAAAATCTCTCAATATAAATGTAATTTGATTAATAAATGACAATAAAATTGATAAAATTGACTTAAAAAGTATTTTAGTTACTTTAAATATGTGTGCTTTAGGTTTGTACATGTACATCATCTTTTTTTTCAAAGTTCAATCACGGATTTATATTATCGTGGACAAACCAGTTCTCAAACCTCTAAGCATTCAGGAGGTCTTTCAGTGTAAATAAAAATATATCTTTATAAAAATTCTTTACATATGTACATTTTAATCTTTAATTAACATTTCTTTAAGATTTGGCTGAAATTCAACAATTAAAACTTCTATTTTTCCATCCTAGAAAAGCACGACCCTCTTCTGTAAAACTAACATGGCCTCTTAAAATAAAGAACCTAATCTCAAACCTCTCCAAGTATCTCTAAATTCTACTTTTATAGGTTAGTCAATGAAGTGATTGTCATATATGATTATCACTTAGCATTGAAGTACTCTACAGGATGCCGGTACCTGCTTTAAGATTTTTTTGTTTCTTATATCCATTTTCACAATTAGTTAATGGTGAATCTACATGACTTTCAAAGGTAATAGCAATTTGTATGAAATTACACTAAGTAATGAAATATGTATAATGTCAAAATCCTTTCCTACGCATTGTTTTTATTTTACAGCAGCAGACATGTCTGTTATATAGAAACTTAAATTTTATGCACAGACACAAATTGATGACATCATAGGCTCTTCTAGAAAAAAATAAACAGCTCATTAATGAAAAGTTTAAGAATAGGTTGGGTGTGAGATTAGGTACTTATACGATACATTAATCTAAATCCGTGGTTCAATTAAACAATTCATGCTTGATTAATTGGACACAATCAAATATCTTGAATCCCTTAATTCATGTTGGAACACATATCTTTTCAGTAATTTGTTTATTTTCAGTAATTTGTATATTGTTGTAATAAAGTGGGGGCATTTTACATTATTTTTATAATTAATATATATATTTTTGTTTCGATTTACAAATAGATTTTTGGGAGTAAATATAGCTATTTGAATTTATAGATAATTTTCTTTGCATTTATTTAAGTATATTTTGTATTTCTTGTATTTTTGTTTAAGTGCATATTTATATATCATAATTATAAGAATAAACACATTCTGTAAAATATCTTTAATTAATTTATATTTCATAATCATGAGCCTTTACTGTTGTCTTCATTGCACAAAATCTGACTTGTATTTGCATTGACTGTTATAGCTGTCTAATTTTCAATGGTCCAATACACAACTGATTGGTTGATGCTTTCAGTGTTTTTTTACAACTGATCGAGCGATTAGTCTTAGCTTTCCCTGTTATAATACAACTGATTACGTGATAAGATTACTGTTTTAAAAATATTTCATCATTCGTCAAATCAACCTATTAAAAAACTTACCGATAATTACATTTTCCGCTAAAATATAATTACTTTACTGGTAGTGATAACGGTTTTTTAATCCGACTGTCATATAGAAGTTTCATTTCATGTCATGGCGCTTTTCCAGTTTGACTGGCTGAGAAAGACTTCGGATTCTCCTCCGTACATTATTTCAGGCGTGAACGGGTACCTGACTAGAACCACAGAGCTGTGTTGTGCAGCCGAAAAATAATAAAATTCATTTACAAAAAAAAAAAAAAAATAAATAAATAAATATGCATACTAATTTTTTTTTTAAACACAAATATTTATATATATAATTTTGTTTTAAATTTAAATTATATGTTACTTAACATATTTATTTATTTTTTTGTTTGAAAAATATGACCTTTTAAAAAATAATTATATATATAAATATTTGTGTTTAAAAGAAAATTATTATGCATATTTATTCATTTTTTTTTTTTGCAAATAAATTTTATTATTTTTCGGCTGCACAACAGCTGGATAATTGTTACAGATAGTATATTCAATGATAATATTATCTTCTTTTCCTCAATTTATTAGAGGTGCTTGATATTAGAAAGACTTTCTTTACGTGTTTAACTCTACTATGATTTTTCCAGTTTTGAAATTTAGAAAAATAACTCAATTACACAAATGTATTGGAATGACGACTGACAGATATAATTAAAACTGTTATGGTTTACAAACGTACTTCTGTATATTCCAAATATGGGTTTCTCGTTGTTTTATAGTGTGCTTCATCTTCTTAGATCTATTATCAATTATATATTGTGGCGAGGCTAGACCATTTTTGACGCGAGTCATAATTAGAGTGGCTATGGACTTAAATTGTAATTAAAGTCCGTGTTATGGATTATAATATGGATGTAAGTCGTCACACCGGGGCTTTCAGACAAATACTATGGATGAAATCCAACAGAAGCTGCAATATATCTCATACCTCCGGTATGACTTTATCGCTAGTTATTTTGGGAACCCGGAAGGCTTATTCTACCGTTGGAAGAGCTTGTTGCCTAAGCCACTTGCTTTTGTTGTATTCTTATCATATGTATATTTTTACATGTATTTGAATCAATAAAATAAAACTATAAACAGTCAAGTTTAAACTATTGTTATTATTGCCATACGTTATATGAAAGCCATATTTCTAGGACCTTTTAGTCAGTACATATACATATTTTCATCTGTTATATTCTGAAAACACAACCTTCTCAACATTTTAAGTATCTCCTTCATTGAACCTATATCCTAAATGATACTATTTTGTAAGATACATGTATCACAAACACAAAAATATGAGAGTCAGGGCCCCGTCTTATCAAATATCGTACGATTTTGGAAATCTTATCGACTTTGATCTACGATTGTCGTACGCTCGATCGTAAGACCGTCTTATTATCGTACGTTCAACCCAGGTTAATTACATGTAAATCAATATTTAATTAGCTTTAATTAGCTTTCTTTATGAAAGACCAATTATGAAAATATCGATTTGATTTTCAAATGAAATTTAGAAGTAATATTACAATATTATAAACATATCTATCTGGGACACGTCTAGGTAGCTGTAAATGCGCGAAAGGTTTATTTTAAGTTAAAGTTTGTTTTGAATTTGATAGGATGAAAAGTTGTATTTTAACATCTCTGAATTCATGGAATAGTTTTTCGCATCTGAATTAAAGGCAACACCTCACCTGCATGCTACCACGGATCTTAATAAATCCGTGATGATACGCAACCTTTTACATACCTTGTGATTTATGGGAAACTTTATTAGACCCTAACGGACTATCATTCCCCTCGAGTTCTGTTTACATTGTCGTCCGCTCCGGTATTTGTCTATTCAATAGATATTGTCAATTTTAAATCTTTTCCACTGCCAGTGTTTACCTTATTTTGATTTGAACTCATTTACATTCTTTGATGCAACTATTTCACTGGGAAGTAGGTTCCATTCGTTTACGACTCTATAAGTGAAGGAATTTTGCCTTTAGTGGTCTTAACTTTTCTAATTTATAAATATGTCCTCGGATTTCATGATTTGTAACAGATAATATGAATAACTTTTCATAGTCAAAATCGTCTATTTTGTGAATAAGTTTAAAAACTTGTATCATATCTCCACGTTGACGTCTGTAATCAAGAGTTGGTAAATTCAATGCCCCTAATCTTGTACATATGTGAGTCCTCTTAGTTCAGGGATGATTCTTGTATCTCTTCTTCGGGTATTTTCCACTAATTGCTTATTTTTCTTTGTTACATGGTAATAAATGTTATTTCCATAATCAGTGATTGGTCTTATTAGACCTTTATACAATAACAAAAATTTCTTCTTATCCATATGAATAAAATTTCTTTTCAGCAAACCGATATGAGAGTTTACTTTATTAACAGTGAGACCGATGTGCTCATCAAATTTCAAATTAGACGTGAAATTAATACCTAGGTCTTTTTCCTTGTCAATGATTTCAATGTCAACATCAATATCAGTGTTATCTTTGGTCCCAGCATAGTGTATTAATGTCATTTTGAAGCAATTGTTGATCAGACATATTTCTCATAATTCGATATAATTTTGTATCATCAGCAAAGAGTCTACAAACACATTATCTGCCTCAGGAATATCATTCACAAAGATAACAACCAATAATGGACCTAATTCTGATCCTTTTGGTACACCAGAAATAACATTACTCCACTTGGATATATTGCCATTAATTACAACACGCTGTTTTCTATCTAAAAAAACACATACATGTACGCCTATTAATATATTCGGTGCGTGATCTCCAATATTTAAAAGAACATGTAGTGATACATCATACATGTCAACTCCATAGTACGTTTTTGCTGTTTCCCTATTTAATTATACAATATTGAATTGTCTGTAATTAAATCATCGGATGATCCAAGTTACAGTTTTGTTAAAAAAAAAAACACTTATAAATGGATTCAGTAGTGAACCCAATGTTCATATGATTTATGGATTGCAACATTGACACATTCCTTACTATTATGCCATGGATAAACTGTATTCCTCTATAAATTGTGTAGTTCACGCACGCACCGGTTTATAATGGAAGCACAAATTGTAAATCAGAAGAAAAAACTTTTGCCACAACCTGTACGCGGGAAATGGTTGTTTCCCTTTGACCAGAAATTTTAAACCAATCAAATCATTTGTTATAATTTATGTAAAATGTCGAACGGGCGCGGTACAGCCATTGACACAAGAGGAGAACTGAACGAATTAGTACGCAGAAGAGCAGAAATAGCGGTATTTTTGTTAATTAAAGACATTTTCTGTTTTAACTTTCGAGAGAAATTCTTATAAGTTAGAGTTAATGGCACGTAAATCACAAATTTCAATTAAGAAAAAAATGCAAATGGCGAATTGGGTCAACATATGACGTCATGGTACTTCCGGGTATTCCCTCGCGGAATTCCGTGTTTATGCTCATTTCATTTCTAACTTACTGACACATAAAATTTGATGTACATACACTGTTAATTCTTAATAAAATTTTGGTCATTTATGATGGCATAATTGAGCTTTCTGTCCAATAGCAGAGTTCAATCTACACAGTAATTAAATGCAATCCCTGTCTTATTGAGCCTAGAAACACTGTCTTGCAATTGCAAGCAGTGTTAGAAGTAAAAGTGGCGCCATAGCTCAGTTGGTTTGGCCACACCTACATAGAGGTGTACTGGTATAATCCAGGTTATCCTTGCATATATCAGATCAGCTTCCCCTCGATACGTGTACGTTTTTGAGAAGACACAGGGCATCGGCAGATGATTGAAGAACCAATGCTACGTGTAAGACGGCAAGTTCGCATGTATTCTACAGCTCGGGGTATTGTTTAAGGTGGCATGACTTAGCTTGCATGAAGTTAACTGCCGGTGTCCTGACTAAAGCTGAGGGGAGTGGCCCTACAAAGTAGGCTCTGAGTTGCCGGGGATGTGTGCTAGGGTGCGTGAGTCCCTAGCATGATTAGATGGCTTGAACGGCAGGCCTTTTGCTGGCACCAACAGCCCTCTTCAGGGCTACCCTTTCATATTGTCTCAGGTTACTGTACATTTAGGTTATCATTGACCGCTGTACAGTGACCTACTTTTGGCTAAAAATTTATATCTTTGGCTAATACTCTGTGGAAATTGCATGGAGGTAAATTATCACCACTTTGTGCTGCAAAATTAACTCTTTAAGGGCATGACTGGTGACATGTCCTGGGTCTGTACTCGACAGTGAAAGCTGCATTTTGTGCCCTTATTGGCGGATGGACCTTCATTAAGCATAAACAGTTAAAACTACATACAAACATGTATCAGTGCTATACACTGGGCATGTAAAAAGAACCAAGGGATCTAGATTCAATAAGAGCTAGGGACTTGTTCCCGGATTCCCTTGTATCTCATAGCTGTTTCTCAATTCAATGTATACAATGTATACCTGCTTAGTGTAATCGTTAAATGATTTTGAAGCAATAGGCCTAATATGTAGATGAGATCAGGGATTGATAATTCAACTTGCCATCATGTATTTAGAAATTGAGTATGCTTATTGTCTTATCGGATGAGTTTGAAATCAGTGAAGCAGAAGACCGCTGGCATTTATCCACTGGTGGCCATGATTTATTGGCAATCTCCTGGATTAGACCCCTATGTATATTTCAGAAGTTAAACTTGATTATGTTACTGCATTTCAGGCAAACCCTTGTTAGATTTAATGTGATATTTATTAAATTTAATTGGGAATACTGATAAACTTACAGTTACATGACAAGTTATACCTAAAATTCATCAAAGTCAACATCTTTGGCAATTAAATACGCATAACACGGATTTGTCTTCCAACATATCAGTTTTACGGATAACAGATTTTTTTTCAATGCCTTATATAACATACCTAAGTCATATTTTAAGTTAAAAAAACATTGAAAATTCACAATTGTCAAATTGTAATTATCCCCCCGCCGAAAAATTAATTTCGGCGGAGGATATAGAAAAAGTCTCCGTCCGACCTTCCGTCCGTCCTTCCGTCCGACATTTTGTCCGGAAGCATATCTCTAAAAGTATTTGAGTTATCAACTTGAAACTTCATAGGTGGATAGACCTCATTGAGGAGGAGTGCAGTGCACAAGAATGATAACTCTACCTTGCATGATTTTTGAGTTATTGTCCTTTGTTATTTTTCAAAATTGATTTTTGTCCAGAGCATAACTCTAAAAGCCTATGAGATATTAACATGAAACTTCATAGGTGCATAGATCTCACTCAGGGGGTGTGCAGTGCATAAGAATGATAACTCTACCTTTTATAATTTTTAAGTTATTGCCCTTTGTTATTTTTCATACCTAATTTTTCAACATGAAATGTCATAGGTGGATAGATCTTATTGAGGAGGAATGTTGTGCGCTAGAATGATAACTCTTCCCTATACAATTTTTGAGTTATTGCCCTTTTCTATGCTACTTTGTCCAGAGCTTATCTCAAAAAGTATTTGAGGTATCAACTTGAAACTTCAAAGGTGGATGGATCTCATTGAGGAGGAGTGCAATGCTTAAGAATGATAACTCTTCCCTGCATTATTTTTGAGTTATTGCCCTTTGTTATTTTTCAAAATTAATTTTTGTCCAGAGCATAACTCAAAAAGCCTTTGAGATATCAAAATGAAACTTCATAGGTGCATAGATCTCACTCAGGATGTGTGCACTGCACATGAATGATAACTCTACCTTTTATATTTTTTGAGTTATTGCCCTTTGTTCTTTTTCATACTTAATTTTTAATTCAATTTTTTTCTCATAAAGTATTTGAGGTATCAACTTGAAACTTCATAGGTGGATAGATTTACTGAGGAGGGATGCAGCACACAAGAATGATAACCTACCCTGCATTATTTTTCAGTAATTGCCCTTTGTTATTTTCAGCCATCAGTATTCACATAGGTTTCAAATCTGTAATCACTATAGCCATCAGTTTTCATTACCAAAAGACCTCTTAAAATGGAATTATTCCGCTCTACTACATATACATTCTTCCAATGAGCAAACACATTCGGCGGGGGATGGCCATGTTGACATGGCTCTTGTTATTCTTAATGACAAAATTTAGAAACAGGGACATTAATGAGATAATAAATAGTATTATATCTTACTTTACGTAATTCATTTCTAAAATTTCCTTTCTGTGACAAAGATTTCCCCTCCACACAGGCCCTTTTACCATTCCCCACGAAGTGAAGAAAACACCACTTCCAAGACATATGTATATCAGTTTCAAAGTTGGTGTATTTCATTTTGATATCATAGGTGAAAAATAAGAAGGGCAGCTTCATCAGTTTTATGGTGAAATTTCAGAAAATTTTAATATATATTTCAGGAGACACTTGCAAATTTAGAACGACAGATTTATGCATTTGAAGGGAGTTACTTGGAGGATACACAATTGTATGGAAATATCATACGTGGATGGGACAGATATCTCACAAATACAAAGTAGGTCAAATGAATGATTGTTGTTGATTGTGGTCTGTGTTTTGTCTTTTAACACAGTTCTATTTGGGTTAAATATAACCCTCAAAACTCACACATAATGAGTTTAATTGGCACTTTAAGTTTTTCCAAAGAGCATTTAACAATTTAACCATAATTATAAATATAATTTCATCATTTCTTAACTGTTTAATTGCATATTGTTGTATCTGTATACCAAAAACACAATATTGAGATCACAAAAAAGTTTCCTTTTGTTTTTTTTTGTTTTTTTTTAACCAAGCTGTAATTGTGTGAATTTCTTTGGAAATTCATGAAATTTTGCAGGAGTATTAGGGATAATATTTACCTGACATGTAATCTTTTGTTTGATCCAAATTGTTTGATTTCTTTTATGTGTAAAAGAATAAATCGTCATCTTAGTAAATGGGTTTACTCCTATCATATAGGGTGACAACATATGATAATGTTAAAAATTGCCAATGGTCTAGGTATTGGCATGTGCTATATAATGAGAAAATGTACTGAAGGCATGAACTTGGAAGAGAAGTGCCTTGTATAAAAAGTAAGTTAAGTAGTATCTAAGTATTATTACTTATTGAATAAATTATGTCAATGTTTATATTACAGGAACACAAACAGTAAAGCTGACAAAAGAAACAGAAAGTTTAAAGATGCAGACAGATTATTTTCAAAGTCATCAGTCACATCAGCTGCGGTAAGTTTTTTAATATTTTGAGATCTATTACAATATTGTACACATGGTTCAAATTTAAGCTTGCATGCTCGTAAAATGCCAGTTAAAATCTAATGCAGCAAGCAGAAATTACTTGAGCTCGCATTTTTATGCGAGTGATTATTCATTTCGGATGTTTACATAATTATATCTACTGCACATGCTTTTGGCAAGTACCTGCTGCAAAAACTGATGACGTTTACAGTTCGAGCTACACTAACTGATGAAGCTTACCGTAAAATCTATTTTAGGTAGCTGTTTTTGGTTTTTCTGTGGCTATATTTAGACAGACTATTTATAACAGGCAATCACTATTGTTATAGCGTGTCCAAGTAATTTCATTGTGTGTTTCATGTAGTTTCGTCAAACTACTGATTCAGCGAACTTGTTTTGTGTAATAAAATGTCTGTTATGGTTCATTTGCAAGTCTCTTTCTGTTGGGTGTGTTGTATACTGAATACTGAATGGCTGTTTTATTTCAGGCGGTGAGCGGGCTACCTCAAGCAGACCAATTGTCAGAAAAAAGTAAGATTTATTTGTTCAATCATTTCTCTAGATTTACATGTATATGGCAATTATGGGACTTAACAGTTCTGAAACACAACAATTGTTAGCAACCATGGTTTAACTACAACCAGTCATATTGTCAACAAGCCTGCCCTCAAATCTTAATTTTTTTTTCAAAGTTAGACGTTAGTACAGCAGAACTTGAAAATCATCTAGTATATTGACAATTGTTGATTTGCAGGAAGAACAGGGATAACACCGACCTTGAACTATTGTGGAATTTCAATAATTGCTAAATCTATCATGGAAATTCATAAAAAAAAATACTTTAAATTCTTTAAAATTACTATAGTACATGGAGAGGTTTTCACAATGACAAATATCAGATTCTGCTACTATTGAATGGTTAAAAGTGATTTTTTCAATGGCTACACATACTTTTGCTAATATATTTTTTTATTACATATGGTTTTCACTGTAATTTTCACTTTGAAGCCAATATGTCATTTAGCAACTACAGATATGAAAAATTGATAAGGTCATAAAAATACAGAATTTTCCTTAGAAAAATTCTTTATTAACGGTAACAAAATGTAAATTAGACTGTAAAAGTGCACATGTTATATTGTTTTCACTGTTTTAGATGGACCCGATAGTCCTGATTCACAGAACAATCAAAACAGTGCAAACACACCACAAACGAACGGACACATGTCAAATGGCAGTGACAGGGAAACATCACTAAATCACTCATCTGGTAAAATACTGAAACCTTCATCCAGCAAAAGTAAAAAGGGAAAAAACTCTAAAAGGAATAGGTATGTAAGTATCTTTAAGAGTTATCTATCATGAAACACTGCATGTGTTTTGTGTGTATTATATGTACAAGTTTTGTTTTGGTGTAAAACCTTTTTAAGAAAACTTATTCATTTGGAGAATAAAATAAAAACACTAAGTCTTATTCTTTGAGAGCACTTATTCTTTGAGGGAATAAAAACCTTTATAGCATGTTTTATAATGTTTTTAAAATGATACAGACAGGTTTATTAAAAATACCAGTTGAGTTTTCACAGTTGAAATTTTTTTTTACAGTGTAAAGCAAAGAATAATGATCTAATAGACTAACTCCAGAATTTGGAATATTTGGTTTTCTAGCTAATCTGTGGGTACAAACAAACATTTACAGTTCCGAAAATAAGCACAACAGGTTGACTAATCTATTGTGATGGGTAGTGCACCGTTAAGTAATAGAAAGAGCACCGAAACACTAGGCTATCTGATTTGTACCAGGGGGCATAGCCCCCTAGTATAAATCAGATTGCCGAGTGTTTTGGTGTTCTTTCTTTTTTGTATCATAGTGAAACATAAAAACACGTTCTCTGTTGTCACAATATGAAACCCCAGAAAAAAGCAACCAATGAACGAGCATATGAATATGATTTTTCTGTCGCTTTTCCTTCATCTAACATCACAATAAGTAAACCCCAGCAAAAATGAGCCAATCAATGGGCATGCTCTGGAGTGCTGGTAACTAATACTTGCACTTCAGTTAACGCACTGTGCATGTATATGTATATGATTTAACTCTTGACGTATTTTCAACAGAAAGGTCCCCCAACTATGATACAAGCTATAATATTAAAAGTTGTTTGTACCTATGGAAGTTTGGATTAGCTGGGAAAAAATCGCATTTGCCAAATTCCAGATAATATCTATTCTCGGCTTGAATTTGTGTATAGATCTGGTGTAACCGTGTTAGATTTTTGTTTCATGAAATTTAAGAGGTCATTTCTTTTTAAATTATGTCTTTACATATTGTTTTTGCCTTCGCCGGCCGTCCGGTTGTCTGTCCGCATTGAGCTTGTCTGCCCTTCACAGGTCAAACTACTGGTGGGATTTCAACCAAACTCAGTATCATCCCTTGTTGTGCACATCACCCGCACGTTCCTCTTTGCTGCATAAAATGGCCGCCAGAGCTAAAAATAGAAAAATCTTGTCCAGCCTTCACAGGTCAAACTACTGGTGAGATTACAACCAAACTTTCAGGAGTGATCAATACCATCCCTAGTTGTGCACAGTACCGGCACATTCTGCTTCGTTGCACACAATGGCCGCCAGAGCTTAAAATAGAAAAATATTGTACGGCCTTCACAGGTCAAATTACTGGTGGGATTTCAACCAAACTTTACAGGAGTGATCAGTACCATCCCTAGACATCACTGGCACGTTCCACTTCACTGCACAAAATGGCCGCCAGAGCTAAAAATAGAAAAATCTTGTCCGCCCTTCACAGGTCAAACTACTGGTGGGATTTCAACCAAACTTTACAGGAATGATCAGTTCCATCCCAAGTTGTGCACATCCTAGCATGTTCTGCTTCGCTACACAAAATGGCCACCAGAGCTTAAAAATAGAAAAATCTTGTCTGGCCTTCACAGGTCTAACTACTGGTGGGATTTCAACCAAACTTTACAGGAGTGATCAGTTCCATCCCTAGTTGTGCACATTTTCGGCATGTTTCACTTCGCCTCAACAAAATGGCCGCCAGAGCTAAAAATAGAAAAATCTTGTCCGCCCTTCACAGGTCAATCTACTGGTGGGATTTCAACCAAACTTTACAGAAGTGATCAGTACCATACCTTGTTGTGCACATAACAGGCACGGTCTGCTACACTGCACAAAATGGCTGTCAGAGCTATAAATAGAAAAATCTTGTCCGGCTTTCACAGGTCAAGCTACTGGTGGGATTTCAATGAAACTTCACGTGAGTGACCATACATACTTTTGGGAGACATATGTTTTTGTGACAAAAACCCTTCTAGTTGAGACATGTGTTGTTTTTTTTACAGTTTTTATTAAGAAAGCATATGCCATTATTTTTTATTACATATTCTGTATACATTACAGACTTGACTTAAAAGTTAGAAGAGGAAAAGATGTAAGAATTGTTTCTTAATTTTTTGTGCCAAATATGATACACAAATTGCTTGACATATAATGCACGTTGATAATACCAAACATAACTAACATCATTCCACATATATATGTTACATTATTCCACATATATATATAGCTTTACTTTATATATAAAAATATACAAAAGTTATATATAAAAGTAAATAATATATGAGCTGTAGATTAATATCCATAAAATTCACAAGTCAGTAGTCACATAAAAAATTATGTGGTTCCAGATCATTTTTCAAGTGGTTTTTGTATATAATGATGAGAGAGAGTGATGGTGATTTTTCACCCTTAATTAGGAAGGAGGCCTTAGCCTTTTGATTTTGAGGAAATTAGTGCTAAAATTGCTAATTTGGGAAGTAAAAAAAGGTGGTGTAAGTCCAGATTTTTTTGGAAAACTGTATGATTTTCAAGGAAATTACACTTGGGAAGAGGCCTTTTGTGGGTATCTGATATATGAGGTTGAAAATCAGTGAGTGATCATATTCAAGACACCAAGCCTTGTTAAAAAGAATTTTTGTACCACCGGGGACCACATTTCTTTTTATGGAGGTCATTGAGATTTTGGTTAGAAACTTACATAATACTGGTTTAAACTATCTTAAATGGACTTGTCCTGGCATTTAATATATAGACAAAATCATTCATCAGTTTTAGGGAAAAATTCAAAATAAGAACTTACTGAATAGCAAACAGTGCAGACCATGATCAGATAGCAGGGATGTTCTGAATGATCTGGTCTAAACTGGTACCATGTGTAGCATGAGCAGGCTAAAGGGATAAAAACTTGTCACCTCCCTTTTGTAAGCAAGAAGTAAGAAATTTAGAAATTTAAGGGTAAATGAAATATATGGAGATCAGTAACTTTGAATGGCTACATGTATTGTTGAATATTTGAAATAGACTATATGTTTGAATGATTCTCATGCCAATAAATCATTATTAACATTACTTGAAATTGTTTAATGTATAAAATACATGTAGGTCAGTTTGTTTTAAATGTTTAATGACTTTGTTTACTTTATTGATTTACTCATATATTTATAAGTTGTATTTTACTTTTATTTCATTCATGATATGCTGATTTTATGTATTATTAATTTATTTTCACTCAGTTATGTAAAGTTGCTTTTTGAGTTTTCACAATAATAATACATGTATAATTAAAATAGAGTAAATACAAGGGCTAAAATTTTAAGGATAAGTCTTGAATTTCAGGAATTTAAGATTCCTGAAAGCAGTTTTTCTTTACAAAACTGTGATTTTAGAAATCCTAATTCCATAATTTTCATGTTCCCCCCCCCCAAACTTTTACCCATGATGTTAATATAATTATGCTGAGGAAAGAAGCCCTCCTATTAAATTTTGCAGTGTCATTTAATTTACGTCACCTTTTTTCATATTCCAACCATGTTTAAGAGACAATATCATCATCTACTGATCCTTGGTTCAGATATTCAGGGTGTATTATCTAATAATGCATGTACATTTATTCTGGTGACGGTCATGTATATATCCTGGAGTGTAATTGTTGCATTATCATAATCAGTAGGCTAAACTTGTGTATTTGTTGCATAAATTCATAACTGTACATAATTATTTGGCGCATAAATTCATGACTACATAATTATTTTATGCATAAATTTATGACTGAACATAATTATTTGTTGCATAAATTCATGAATGTACATAATTATTTGGTGCATAAATTCATAAAATTACACAATTATTTGAAATTGTTGCATAAATTCATGACTCAACATAATTATTTGGTGCGTAAATTAATGGCTGTACATAATTATTTGGTGCATAAATTCATGACTGTATATAAATTTGAAGAATTTAATGAGCAGCTTGTGGAAGTCAAGAGGAGACAGGAGCTATAAATAACCGTATAATTTAGTTATTGCCCTTTGTAAACTTTAGTGAATTTTTTTTGCACCAGTTGCAGTTGGGTTACTTGCATGACTTGCTATAGAGTAAAAGATTACTAAACAAGTTAAAGCAAATAATATCAATCAAGCCTGTGACTAGCTTTATAACATTTTCTTGGTTGATATATGATACATAGGAAATTCTTTTTATCACATGACTTAACTTATTGAACTTTATAAAAATGTACTACATGTAATTTTTACAGTTTATATGCCTGTACACTGATGTAATTTTACATGCACTTTAGCTGGTGAATATGATGTGATATGTACTGTAAAAATTAATCAGCTTGGTCAATTATAATAATTCAGTACATGTCACACCATTTAATTTTTCAGTACATATTAACAAGCTGATAGTATACATCTGGATGTTTTATAATATGATAAATAGTCAGTGTGGGTCCTTTGGCGGATTGTAAAAAATCTAGTTTGGGGGGGGGACACTAAATGTACTCTGCTTTTGACCTGTTATTTTTACAAAAATTAATGTCTTAACCAATCGAGAAAGGATTTGAAAGCATTTAATAGATTACATGAAAAAAGGAAATAGTGAATGTAATGGTTATATATATGTATTACATGGAAAACAAGGGAAGTCATGTGATAAAATAGGATTTATTAATTTTATCTATATGTTTAATTTCATTGGATCATGCACAATGTTAATATTATTTACATTCACATTCCTTTTTTTTTTTCAGGGAAATGACTGAAAATGACTAGATGAGGAATTGTACATGTAAAATAACGCCCATTATTATACGATGTTTGCACACAGTTTTCATCTCTCTCATGGTCGGGGCTTTCTTTTACATTCTGTATTCTACGGAAGATTTGTCAAGTCTGTTGTGGTGGAACTTTACAAACTGGAGATCTGATCTATATGTGAACAATCTATGCCAAATAATGGCCAAAGTAATCTCTCCTTCTGTACAGTAAGAGAACAATTTGTAGACAAAAATATCTAGTGTTAGTCAGTGTTGAAGTAATAGAAAAATTGTTAATTCATATCTGAAAATACAAATGTAATAAGTGTTTATAAGAATATTGAAAAAAAATTTAAAATTTTACAGGTATTTACTAGTATAAGCTTTCAAGCATAATTATCTTTTCAGTCTGAATTAATGTATAATAGAAAAAGTACAGAAAAAAATCTTGTTTGATCTTTACTTGTGATTGTTGGTTTGGTAAGATCCAATTCACTTGACTATATTACCATAGTTTCCAGGATTTTTCATAGCACTTTGGGAATATGACCGACCCCTAGAATTCAGAACTTTTATGATTGGGAAAAACTGACAACATACTGTATACATCAAATATGACAAAGAAATCAAATATTTGGTTAAACTCCTTTTATATTTCACTCATGAGCACATATTATTACAATATATAACGCAGGATTACAATTTTCTATGGCACAGTGCAGCTAAATGTAACAAAATGATGATAATTTTACTTATTTGATTTTATGTTCTTTGAACTAGGAATTTTCCCCTTGAAAATGGGGGGAAAAAACCCATACTTTATGGCACTGTGAACATGACATCATCAAAATGGGCCAGAAAATACCCAGACTTCTGTACAGTTTCGCTTGGCTCTTTACCATTGGTAGCTTAATCTTTGTATTTTAATATTGAATCCTCCTTATACTTAAAAATGGAATGTTCCAAATTTAAAGGGGAAAGTCCATTGCACAATTCCGGCAGGTTAGAAGCTAAGGTTATGTAATTATTGTAATTAAGTTGGTATTGTTGTGTATCACTACAGTAATCAATTGCTTGCAAAAAACACTGGAAACATTTTTTACACTGTACTTTTTTATCATATATAACCACAGTGTTTGAAACCCTGAAATAATTTAGTTCAAGTCTTCCTGTTTTAATTGGTTGAGTAAAATTTATTTGCTTTTTTAAAAAAAAAATTCAAATTAGTCAAAATCAACCGTATTTTCTGTATTTTTAGTATGCAAGTTGAATATATTTTCATTTAAATTCTCATATAAGCTTTCAAAACAAATGAAAAGGAACAGAACTTGGGATTTTCAAGAAATAAATAAGAATTCACTAGAAATATGATTTTAAATTGATAGTTTTGCAGAATTTACTGCATGAAGTGCAAGTGGTAATATTAATATCCTATTTATTCTTTGATTTCACAATTAGTGATACAAGTGTAATGAGTACATCTCACTGCAATATAATACTGTAAAATCTTCATTGTTTCTTTGCTATATTTGAGGTTCATCAGGATCATCATGTTTTAAATTAAACTATTGTAAAATGTTTGTTATACCCCCGCACAACAAAGTTGTAAGGGGGGTATACTGGAATCAGCTTGTCCTTCCGGCTGTCCGGCCGTCCGTCCGTCGGTTTTTTCTTGTCCGCCCAATAACTTAAGATTCCTTTGACCCTTAGTCTTCATATTTGGCATGGAGGTTAGTCATGATTAGTAGATGACCCCTATTGATTTTGAGGTCACTAGGTCAAAGGTCAAGGTCACAGGGGCCTTGACTTCAAAAAGCTTGTCCGCCCAATAACGTAAGATTCCTTTGACCCACAGTCTTCATATTTGGCATGGAGGTTAGTCATGATAAGTACATGACCCCTATTGATTTTGAGGTCAAAGGTCAAGGTAACAGGGGCGTTGACTTCAAAAAGCTTGTCCGCCCAATAACTTAAGATTCCTTTGACCCACAGTCTTCATATTTGGCATGGAGGTAAGTCATGATTAGTAGATGACCCCTTTTGATTTTGAGGTCACCAGATCAAAGGTCAAGGTCACAGGGGCCTTGACTTCAAAAAGCTTGTCCGCCCAATAACTTTAGATTCCTTTGACCCACAGTCTTCATATTTGGCATGGAGGCAAGTCATGATTAGTAGATGACCCCTATTGACTTTGAGGTCACCAGGTCAAAGGTCAAGGTCACAGGGGCCTTGACTTCAAAAAGCTTGTCCGCCCAATAACTTAAGATTCCTTTGACCCACAGTCTTCATATTTGGCATGGAGGCTAGTCATGATAAGTAGATGACCCCTATTGACTTTGAGGTCACCAGGTCAAAGGTCAAGGTCACAGGGGCCTTGACTTCAAAAAGCTTGTCCGCCCAATAACTTAAGATTCCTTTGACCCACAGTCTTCATATTTGGCATGGAGGTTAGTCATGATAAGTAGATGACCCCTATTGACTTTGAGGTCACCAGGTCAAAGGTCAAGGTCACAGGGACTTTGACTTCAAAAAGCTTGTCCGCCCTATAACTTAAGATTCCTTTGACCCACAGTCTTCATATTTGGCATGGATGTTGATCATGATTAGTAGATGACCCCTTTTGATTTTGAGGTCACTGGATCAAAGGTCAAGGTCACAGGGTCACAGGTCACAATGTCCTGTCCGCAATGTATTGATTTTGACATTTTCACATTTGAAGCATGTAGAATACATAACTTAGCAATGCACTGGCTTAGTAACCTCAGATTTGACAGGGAGGTTGTCCTTGAGCTCTAAATGGCCACTGTTGATTCTGACAAAGTGGTATGCGGGGGTATTCATGCCATGATAGTGGCAGTTCTAGTTTAATCTCTATGAAATCATTTTGCCATAATACAAATGTAAAGTGTATAGATTCTGTAGTTTTTAATTTATATTAGAAAACTTGTACATTTATAATTAATTATTTGCACATGTGAGTCTGTCAATTATGTTTCTTGATAAAGAAATCATTGAATAAATGAAAAGGAAAATACCAAGGATTTGTTGTTTTCATTGTTTTTAAGGTGTACTTAAGAGTGAAATATTTACAACTTAATACGAGATAGAATATAATTATTATAAAGTAGTGAACATGTATACTTGTGAAAATTTGTTTTAAAATAGGCAGAACATGTTATTGGTCGGACAAGATTTTAACATGAGTCACTGACCTTGACCTGAATTACCTAAAATTCAGTAGGTTTCATAAACTTGCTAAGGGCAAGTCCTTACCCAGTTTCACAAATGCAGGCTTACTCCTCAAGTTATTGGTTGTAGAAGGATTAACGCTTAATTTCACTGCAATCTGGACCTTTGGCTGTATGCTTTCCAAAATAATAGCCATGGGCAATGTCAAGGTCATTACTTTTAAAGTTATTTAGCGGTGTGATTTGACCTAATGACCTCAAAATCGATAGCAGTTATTTGATAGTTTAATAATTTCATTTTGGATTTGAACAAACATCCAAGGCAATAGTGAACTTAAACATAAGGGATCTATAATGTGTATATCCATTCGGATAGTATGCAGTTCGGATGTACAATTTCGTGATGCTACAAATTCGACTGTGTTTCGTATATATTGTAAATTGAATACTATATATGTTAATTTCACTATTTATTTTAATTGTTTAATAGAAAAATGAATGTAAAGCCTCTTATTGATGTTTATGTTTTTATAAAAAAAATTCTTATAAAATCTTAATATATGATTTTCTCTCTCAATTTCTGGCTAACTGGTGGAATGTCCTGGTGAAAATGCCCTTTGAAGCTAAATTTTCATCATGTTTCACATACATACGAGCTTAAGACTATACTCTGGCATGATGGTACACATAAAGATCGAAGACCTATGTGCACTGCCATGTCCGACGGATCGTTCGTTAAACAGATTGTAACACATTCCGCAATCCTTAGTATGAAGCTGTGTCTAGAAGACACGCACGCGCACGCACGCACGCACGCACGTAAACACACACACACACAGAGAAAACACATGTCGATTTAGTCTTCCAAATAGGTAGTTTCATTGTATCAGAGCAGGGAAGTCATTTTCTCCAGTATGAACTGTCCTAAAGTTTCAATGTGTCTATTTTCGAGTTGTTTTCGAGTGCTATTTAATATTTTCGAGTGCTATATAATATTTTCGAGTGCTATATAATATTTTCGAGTGCTATATAATATTTTGAGGTGTTATATAACTATACACGTATGCTTTAAGTCATAGTTCATTATTTTCATCATACCGGTAACTAATTGGTAATGCTCGGAGAACAGATCATGCACGAAACTCATCGTAAGGAACCAAAAGTTTTGCGTACAGTTAGTTTATCGAACCAATTACCATGCGTACAGTAAGAAATACGGTATATGCGATTAATTCTTAACGTTCTTTTTTCTTGATTTAATAGTTTTGCTTTCTTTAGTAAACACGTTAATTAATTAGTGCTATTACTAATCAAGTATATATTTCAATATATTTGTTATTGTATTCTTTTAAAGGCTTTAACTAATAACCTCACTAGCTTTCTCCTTACTATGAAATATATTCTTCATGTGTATTTATACTTTGGTGACCTTTCTCTGAGTTAAATAGTTTACATAATTATGTAATAGAAAAAAAGAGTGTAAATATAAAACAGAAATAGAAAAATGACGTAAGGTTTTCTTTGTAACGGTCGATATTTATTTTTACATTTGAATTTCGACTTTGCGTCATGTGACTTTCATCATCATGTGACGTCTGTGAAGGCAGTGATTACAATTCTGCCAAGGGAGGTAATCATTTTTTCAAGGGGAAACCACTTTCTGTACTTATCTGATGTTGATCTTTAATGTTACATACATTATTACTTTGTACTATTATAACTTATATTAATCACTTCCGTAACTAACCAGTAATGGCGTCAGTATGTCGTTGTGGCACGAGTATAGCTCGAACACACGATCCCTGAGGGTCGATACCTAAACGATTAGACCATCATTCCCCTTTCGGACGGTTAAAGCAGCACGCCTCCAGATTCATGTTTATTTTCATGAACATTTCATAAACATTTTGAATATGTATTCAAAAGTTGTGAAGTGAACAAAGAAAATATTTTTTACATATTACAAACAGCATAAACAACCTATGTAAATTACCAAAAACAGGTCAAAGTATGCAAAAATAGCCCTTACTGCGTTTCTAACGCAGTAGAAATATGGGGGGGGGGGGGGAATACTGCAAAATCGATTACTTTTATCTTGAATCTTTTTTACTTTTCTTAAAATCTCAATACTTTTTACTCAAGTTTTATTTTCTTGAAATATTTTAGCTTATCTGGAGGCATGCAGCTTTAAATCATAAAATGGTTTGAGTAGATTCTAAAAGAAGAAAAAAATAAAATATTGAAAATTTATGGTGTCACGGAGATAGCGGAAATTTTAGACCTTTGCTCTCGTGCCAACTGCCAAACCGTTTGAGTAAATAAATATGCATCACATATTGTCTATAAAATCAACAACAAAAATCTGATATTTTTATAAGTATTATTGTATAATAAGGCAATCAAGGGTTATCGATGTATAAGCATAATAATCTGTATCATAGTAATATAGACCAATGGCTTTCATATTTGAGCACACACTTGAGTCTTTGCGCTCAAATATGGAATGAAAATGATATAAAGACTAAATGCGATTTCAAATAATAAAAAGATTAATTAATTATTTTCTTATAATAAATAAAATATTGAGAAATGTTGTTGATATAAAATACATTTTTTCATTTTCCGTATTTTCACTGTAAAAATGATATTTTTCACGGCAGTGAAATATATTTTCCGTATTTTCACTAGTGTTTTGCCGGAAAACTTTCATCTAAATTCAGCCAATACACAAAATTAGAGGGGAAGTTTTAAGATCTTAAGGTCAAAAAAGAAAAGGAAATATGTAATAAACAGAAAATTCACGCTTTCATATAAATAAGGGATTGCTTTTCATCTCGTGGTATGAAAATTATCATATTCATTTGTAGCTACCGCTACTTGTGAAATATCTATTTCTCTATCTCTCGAATAAAATAAATCTTGTATTTACTGCACAAAACTTGAATTTAGATAAATAGATAAAACATATAGTTGAATGATACTTAAAATTAAAAAAAATATTATTTTTCGAAAGTTTAAAATTGGGTATACATTATGTAATAAAGCTGTCATGAGGCGAAAATGATTTGTATTTTACTTTTTACACATATAGAAATGTTCTCTAAGTAGGGAAGAAGGTGTACGTATAAGCGGCCAGAAAGCTCAGTCGGTAGAAACCGCGGAATGGTATTCTGAATGATCGTGGTTCGAGCCCGGTCAGACTGCACATTTTCTCATCCAGTGACATTGATGCGAATATTTATATCTTCAAGCTTTTACATACAATTTGCGAATTACGGAAACGGAATTAAGATTCTTGTTCAATCCGTGCAATTTTGTTACTTGTAATTTTATCATTGCCATGTAATTTTTAAACCAAAAGTCATTCTATTATCGTTGTTGTTGTTGTTTGTTTGTTTTTTAATCAGTGTTGGTCCACACTTAATGTCCTGCTCCTTGCTAAGTTGCTATATATGTGATGTCAAAGATTTATATGTGAGAAGCCATCATGATCTGGCGATAAGATATGACCTTATTTGACTGAGATATGACATCAGATTAGAGTTATTCTAGCTTATCTTTCCCTGTTCTAGTTTATACTTCATGTAAGTCTTTTTATAATCCGAATGTTTTGTGTTATAAACCATATTCATGATATTGTTTTCATCAGGATTCAGCATATATTGTAGCATCTTTTTTTGAAACAGGCTATACGCGAAATCGGGAGGTGTGACAAATTCAACCAATCCGATTTAATGTTTATTTATTGGTGAAGGTCAAGTCGGATCCTGAATTAAGAAGTTCGCATTAAAATAAACAAGCAATATCTTTTCTGAAACAAATTTATTTTCTCTAGATATTTAATTGATCCAAATAAGGATGGACGCTGGAATAACACCTGCGAAAAGAGCAAAAGTTGATGTAGCGAATGGGGTAAGCTGTTTCATGTTGTTTTTTTAGCTAAGTTAAGTTTGGTATTATTTTTTCAAAGCCGATTGTAATTTGGATAGGATTCAAAAAGATTGAATGATACACATAATAATGCCTCTGTAGAAATAATATACAAAATGTACATGGTTTAAGTGTCTATAACATTTAAATTGAAAGACAGATCTCAATACGAGACAGCCGTTTGTGTATTTATAAACTAAATAAAACATAATAAGACCTAATTTGGTATTAAAAATAGCTGGGATATACGTGCGTGTTCTTATCATTTACATTTATTATAAAAATGATAACTTACATGTTGATATATGTATATCATGTCTTGATTGTTTCTTTTTTGCTTTTACTTATCTTGAAAACTACTGAGATTATATTTTAATTGTGCTTGTCGGTTATGCATATGTGTACATGTAATTAATTGTTTAAATTTAGCATAAATATTTCCAGTAAGAAATCATATAAATAACTCCAACATTATGATTTTTCCATGATGCAATACTGGTTACCAGTGATTATTTTTTGTCACTTATATAGAGCCAGGTCAGTTGGCCTGACATTAGAAAATCACTTAGAATGGACTATTCCAAAATCAAACCTGGGCAAATCCATTATACATATTAAGTAGGTTGAGGGTTAAATGATACCAACCTTGAGGATGTTTAGACAATTTTCATGGATAAAATTACTAACAGAGTCTGTTAGAATCAATTAAGGCGTAAGACGTGTGTACTATTATTATAAGTAATCAAGATATACTTATTCTTAGTTGGGTAAGATTTGAGCTGCTTTTTCAGTATGACCATTGTTTCCAGACGTTGTCGGGAACTTATTTTTAGGAGTTGTCTAATCTTTTATATTTATTTATTTATTATTCAATAATCAATAAACAATAATAAATAATCTTTGAAAAATAGATAAAGACCGAAACGTCATCGACATTAAAACAAACTACTCTTTTGATATGGTAATTGTTTTTCAAAAGTTTTCGGAAGTGAAATCTTATTTAGGTGTTGCATGTCAAACTTAACAGTAAATGGATTTTAAAGCCAAAAGAGAAACATATACATACATGTGAATGCAGATACAATACAAATGGAATAACATAATAGGCAACGGAATTTATATTTTACTATTATCACGATATATGTTCCTCCTTGTTAATTGAGTTACTTTGATTGATAATATCTGACAGAGCCAGACGTCTTTTTGTCTAAGAATAAATTATGATATAATTAAATGATTAACCAAAAACCTCAAATACGCTTTCATATAGAAAACATTTGTAGGAACAGATTATAATTGATGACACAAAGTTGGACAACAATTATCGAACCATAAAATAATTTTCAAATCCCAGGAAAAAAATAGTCTGGAAATCTGTGCCATTTTATGTTGTGTCTAGTACCACGCGATGTAGGGCTACTTCCTTAAAAAAATATTTTACGAACCTTGAATGTCTAATATATATACGTAATAGTTAATTTGATACATTTTGACTACAAAAAAAAATGATCAAATAAATATGAATATAAGTATAAATATCATTTAAGTTACTGAGGGTAAATGTTGGCAAACAATCAACAATCGGCAAATAGTCATTTTCTCGAAACATACTTTCTCAGATTTTAAGAGCACATTAGATAGAGATCACCAAATTTGTCAATGTCTTGTGATTCACAGATCTTAGCAGTTCAATGAGCTTAAATATTAGCAATTAAAACGGGTCTTCCTTAATATAAACTTTCGTTAATAGACCCAGATCGTACATGTATAACGTGAGAAATTCTCGATAATAACAAACCACGTTTGAAAAAAAACACAAAAAAACAACAAAAAATATATATCATTTCATATACATGTATGTATTGTATTGACACATGTTTAAAACCGATGACATTATTTTATGTTAGTAAAATGATGCAACATTATACTTGTAAAGTTTATGCAACTGTAAAATTATTTAGTATAACTTCGTTCAGTAACTTGTATGTTTATACATGTAGTTAAACTTCACCGACATTTACTGACATACTGACAGTACTTACATACATTTGACCGTTCACAGTCTGGTCTCCACACGATGACCGGCTAAATTCACGCACATTTCCGCATTTTTCGAGTCAAATTAAGTCTGTACATAAATTATATAAGAACAAAACAGCTATGTTAAGGTTGTATAAGCTGGCACCGCAACCATTCGTTTATAGCTAATAAGACGACTTATATATTTTTTTTCATTGTCAGTCCTTTACGGCAAAATTTTAAAAAGGTAACGAAATAAGGCACCCGTCCACGAAGTAATTTTGTTTTGGAATTTACAACTATAGTTTTCTGCGGTATTGATGATGAATGAATGAATGAATGAATGAATGAATGAATGAATGAATATTTAAAAGGAAATATTATTCATCTACAGACTCATGGTCACGATAAGAACCGACTTCCCCATCACAACTATGTAGAAGATTATGACGACAAGGAAGGCAGTTCGAGCATTCTTTTTACCCTACCAGAAAAAATTGGTGCTCTCGCAGAAGCTTTAAAGGTGTTTGAGGTAATTGATATTTTCTTTTTTTTCTTTTTTCAATGTACCTTATTTTCTTTCCTTTTCATTAAGAAATATTCACATGTATATAGTTAAATAAGAAAAAACAATCGAAAAATTGACAGTTTTTATGCTGGTGAAATTGGCAAGGGCTCATATAGAATTGAGGTATACATGTAATTATATACATGCATTTACGCTATTGTATACCTTATAAATATTTACTTTTTTTAAGTCAACATGATACTCTTTCAAACATTTTATGTATACAATTAAGTGTACGACACAGTCTTAGCGAACAAGCCATAATTTCATCATTTGTAAAGGTTCAAGCTGTACTTCACTATTGTGCGACTGCCCGTCCGTCAATGGCATATAGTTACATTAGGCCACTAGACCTTACTTACTTCTCGGTTTCTTAAAGAAAGAAAAAACAACAGCAGCATTTCTTTTGCATTCCAAGAATGATAAAAACGTCGTTATCCCAAAACAAATAAGAATCTTTTATGACAATTTAGAGGTCCCTTGCCCAACTAGTTGTACTACGTGTTGAGATATTATGGGAAATATCTCCCCTCTAAAAGCAGAACATACATATCTTAGAATCTAGCTTTGGAGCATCGAAATATTTTGACTAGCAGGGCACCAGATGCACGCTTAATATGGATTTAAAATTCAGGGAGGGGCACGTGCAAATGGATTTGTATAAATTTGAAAACGCCCGGCTATAAAGTTTTAATATTGCAGAATTTTTTGCTGCACTTATCTCAAGCGAGTTTATATTCTGTTTTTATTTTGCTTGTTTATAACTTGTGAAACGCGAGAATACAACGATATATGTATACATAAACTGCGTATGATTTATTATTTAATTAAGACACGCTTGATACATTTATTACATTGCTTATTTCAAGCTAGTTTTACGTTACCATGTACACACAACTGTAACTGACATTTGCGAATTGTTTCAGTCACTCCATGATGAAACGCCGTACAGACATGAATATAAAATACATCTATCAGAAATATACATGAAATATAAATGAACAAATATTTATATGAATGTTTTGGGGTCATAATTAAACCATTAAGGCTGGAATGAAATGGTAGCACAACATTAAGTGCGATATTGATAAATAATGCCGAGTTAGACTGTCGAGCCAGAATGAAATGGTAGCACAACATTCAGTGCGGTATCGGTTAAAATATCGAGTGAAAATGTCGAGCCGAAACGAAACGGTAGCACAACATTCAGTGCGATATTGGTAAATATTGTAGAGCTAGAATGAAATGGTAGCACATGCAGTGCGATATTGATAAATAATGCCGAGTTAAACTGTCGAGCCAGAACGAAATGGTAGCACAACATTCAGTGCGATATTGGTAAATAATGCCGAGTTAAAATGTCGAGCCAGAATGAAATGGGATGCGGTATTAGTAAATTATGTCGAGTGAAAATGTCGAGCCAAACGAAATGGTAGCACAACATTCAGTGCAATATTGGTTAAAGTGTCAAGCTAGAATGGACTGCTGGCACCATATTTAATATGGTATTGATAAATAATGTCGAGTTAAAATGTAGTTAATTTTAAGCTCATTGTTAATCTTGAGAGTAAAGCAATCACACAATTCAGCCAAACATTCAGCTTGGTATGGAATAAATTTGAGCCGTGTCATGACAAAACCAACATAGTGCGTTTGCGACCAGCATGGATCCAGACCAGCCTGCGCACCCGCGCAGTCTGATCAGGATCCATGCTGTTCACTATAAGTTTCTCTACTTGTAAGCGAACAGCATGGATCCTGATCAGACTGCGCGGATGCGCAGGCTGGTCTGGATCCATGCTGGTCGCAAACGCACTATGTTGGTTTTGTCGTGACGCGGCTCATTTGCTTGGTATATTTCTTGCATTAAGATTGGGACTTTCAGCGATGAGAATTGATTATGTCATTGATGGTTATTCTCTCTTTATGGGTATTTAAGTTGGGTTTTTTATTTATGTTACCTTTTTTATTTATTTAAGGCACACAACGTGAATCTGTATCATATTGAGTCAAGACCTGCAAAGGGCAATACATCACAGTACGAGTTTTATGCTGATTGTGACAATAAGAAAGGTGGTCTACACGATGTCGTGAAGGACCTGAAAGGGAACGATTGTCACGTGACATTGCTCACCAGAAAACATCAGCGAGGCTCTTGTATGTATATTCTAGATAAAAGCTCAAAATTTATGATATGCTAATGAAATAGCATTTAAATACTTTGTATAAAAGTCATTAAAGCAAAATTAAGCATGCTTTACTGCCTATAAGTATTTTTTTGCAGGAATACATGTATTTATTTGACATTATCTATGCAAATTTCGTTCAAATTCAAATCTACAAAACGTCCTTGGTTTTTTGTTTATTTGATTTATATTACAAACGACAGAGTAAGGTTTATATCCTCGTTTCATTATATAATCCAATTTGGTATATTATTAAATGTGTATATTTTTCTCACTGAATATAAATTGTCGTAAAGTTAATTATTAACTGCGTGAGCAATACATTTATATAAGTAAGTGCTCAACGCAACGGTCAAGGTTGTTAAAAACACTGATGATATTTAATAAGGTATTTTTGTTTTAGAAAACGTTACATTTTTGGGTTGTTTTTCGTTATCAGTGTACATTTTCCTCTTTTAGCTCAGCGGCTATCCGCCAGTGAAAGCGAAGGTAAATAAATGATCATCATGAGTCACGTGTCATATCATATATCATCTTTCATTGCCAAAGCCGTTTCTGTTTTTGTTATATCTATAAAATATAGAGGATATTAATGTTTTTCTAATAAATACAAGATTTATTTTCATTGAGAGGTATGAAAATAGATGTTTCATGTGTAGCGATAGCCACAATTTTTATACCACAAGATGAAAATAAATCCCGTATTTATAGAAAAAAAACTTGAATTTTCTGTTTATTATATACATTTTTCTCTTTTTTGACATTACAATTTGAAAGATTTCCTCTTTTAGAAAACTTTGTGTTTTGGCTGAATTTAGAAGAAAGTAGTCCAGCAACGCCGCAAAACACCAGTGTAAAATACGGAAATATATTTCACAGCATTGAAAAAATATTTTTTTACAGTGAAAATATGGAAAATGAAAAAACGCATTATATTTTATCAGCATTTATCAATATTTCTCAATATATCATTTATAAGTATATAATAAACATGTATATGTTGCTAATACCACCGGCATACTATTAGCCAATCAATGGTTATGTTAGATATTGGAAATCGGGTCCTTCGATTTGAGTCTGTAATCCAGGTTGAAATTTGAATATGTAAACATTTTGGAAATAATATTTTGGATAATGGCAAAATGTACCCTGGATTGTACGGTGATAACTTTTTACAGTATTAAATATACATAGCTTTATGGCAATCATCTTTTGAAATTTGGTAAAATTTCATCTTTGGATTTTGCAATATTTTATATAAGATTTTAAAGTTTGACAGTAATATTTACAATGCTGGTAATTTTATTTGTGGTTTTGAAATGATGGTTCAGAAGAATTTGTCACTTATATTTTGTATTTTAGCAATTACTTCTTAGAATTTGGTGATTGTATAAATTTTGACTGTCATGTACAAAAATTCGGAAACCGGAAGTTCAAATTATATTTGCATGTATATAAAGGGGGTAAGGAGGATATATTCTTTTTCATTGGCGCATTGTATGTAAAAATCACTTATAATGGAGTGTTGTGTTTCTAACCTACTTTTTGTCTCTAGCTGGCTATCGCGTGGCCGAGTGGTTTCCGCCGTAAGCTTTGAACAGCTATGGTCTGAATTCAGTTTTTCTACTCAGGTGCCCGCTTGCGACAGAAGTATTCCGCAAATGAATGATCGCAATATATGAAATATAAACCATCAAAAGAAAAGTCTTCTCTTTCCCGGATACAAAATACTCATTGACAAGTATCTTAATGACTCAAGAAATCGAATAATTGTATGATGTGTCTTTATTTATAGATTACTATAGATAGTGTAAGGAACGTTTTAATCATGGCTCTTACCTAGAAATGTAGGAGTGCATTGATAAACAAATGTCCTGTATTTATATACACATTGCAAATTTTTTTTAGAGAGGCCAGGGCAAAGTTGACCTTACCGATTTTTTTTAAACTTCAAAATTGGTTTTGACTTTTTTCTTTAAGTAAATTCAATATCTTCAATTTCGTATAAAATATGACAAAACAAATTGAGATAACAGTGTATGAAATGTTAGTGGAGCGAATTGGATAACGAAAAAAAACTCCAAATTTTAATTTACTTTTGAAGATCACATAATAATATTCGTTGATATTTATTATAGTACATGCCCTTTAATTTTTTTCAAAACAGGGAGTTTCACGTAATTTCTGTCGGTTTAATATATTTATTATAGTTATGCCCTAATCTTTTTTTTTCAAAACAGGAAGTAACAGTAAGTTATAAATAATTATCATCCTTCATTGCTTTATAGATTCTATTGTTACTTTGTAATGGGCGTGAACACTGAATTATCTCTGCACTACATAATTATGTATTTATCATTATATACATGTACATACACGATACAATCTTTATTTTTCCTCACAATCATCGACATTCCTTTTTGCGCTTTTAAAATATCCAGACCCTTAACCTGCTGAACTTGTGAAATTGAATTGCACTGCATTGGATTTGAATTTCACAGAACAGAACAGAACAGAACATATACTTTATTTCTGACTTGGGCTCAACACCCATCATCATAACATACATATACATGTATAATTATCACAATACGAAACATGAGCCACCAAGTACAAAAGACCGGCGGGGGCATTTCAACTTCACGAATTCATAATTGAATTCAGGTTATTGATTTCAGGTTCGTGAATTCACGATTTTAACTTCATGAATTCACGAAGCTGAATACGTGAAGTTGAATTTCTGAAGTTGAAATCATAATTCATAAAGATGAAATCGTGAGTTCATCAAGTTGAAATCGTGAATTCGTGAAGTTGAAATCGTGAATTCGTGAAGTTGAAATCGTGAATTCATGAAGTCGAATTCGTGAATTTATGAATTCTGTATGTTGAAAACGTGACTTCACGAAGTCAAAATTGTGACTTCACGAAGATGAAATCGGGAATTCATGAAGTTGAAATGTTCCCACCGGTCAATCGTAACCAAGTTAGAGTGTACTTCACGAATGTGCAGACTAGCCAGGCCCTGTACTGGCTGTACATATTGTAGTCAAAGACTAATCACTTCCGGTTCTAGCAGGTTAAGGGTTAACCTACAAATGGAATGTTTTTCGTGTGTTTACTACTGTCTCATCTGTTTCTAATAGACCAACCTTGACACGCTTATCTTGCTTGTTAGTGTACTTTTATCTAAAAGATATACGCCATTTCTGTTAATTATCTGAACTATTTGAAATATGATTATAACTTGAATATATACAAGTAAAGAAACGCAATGACCTTTATGCATGCTTACATACAAATATCATTCATATGACGATTCCACCGCCCCAATCCCTGATCGCTTTAATTCCTACCAAAGTCGGCAATTGTGCTTAAAACCCAACTATAGAAAGGGGAATAACCGCAATAACCTTCTCTGTTTCATTCTCCATATCATATTTTCTCAAATTATAACACATATATATATTGTCTTGTTGCTATAATTGGTAAACAACATGTATTGTAATTTATAATCTCCGAGAAGAAAAAATAGATCCATAGCTGTTCGTTCATATGAAGTGTTGAGTAAGTACATGTTAACCTTAAGGTATAAGTACATAATATCATGCCACATAATTTAGTTGAGCACTGCGAAATCAAATTGTCTTTAACAGTCGTGTCATATTTCTAATTACAAAGTCAAATTGTCTAAAACTCATATTTTTAACAGCTCATGATATTAATAACAAATATAACAACAGAGGCAGTTTGTTCATCGGAAATTGTAATTTAATACAAGCACTTTAAATAATGAGTAAGACTTGTATGAGACGACAATTAGTTTCTATGAAAATTGCTCACCTTACACACGGCCTGTTCCAAAAATATAGACTCCACGTATTATTACAAAGTCAAATTGTCTAAAACTCGTATTTTTAACGGCTCATGATATTAATCCCAACTATTACAACAAAGGTAGTTTGTTAATCGGAAATTGCAATTTAATACAAGCACTTTAGTAAGACTTATACTTTGTATGAGGCGACATTTAGTTTCTATGAAAATTGCTCACCTCACACACGACCTGTTCCAAGAATATAGACTCCTCTCATACGTACAACACTATTTCAATTTTGTACTTTCACAAGTGGGTGTTTAGAGGGGAATATCTAACAATTCAGTCTACTGTTCATCTTTATATACATGTTGCTCCTTTCTTGCCATATATAGCGAGATTAATAACACTTAAAAATATGCTTATTTCCGATAAACGTTTAAAGTTTTTCATCGAATGAGTTTATAATAAAATCACAAACGACTGTGCCTTCAGAAGAGTTAATGCTTAGAGCTCTAAACTACTGAATAATTCAAATGGATATTTCATGTCTTTTATGCAAAGTTCCATGGTTTCCCCGTAAAATCAACGATTTGGACAGATTTGCTAACCAAATTTTGAGTTATGGATCAGAACTGGACTCGGATCACCCAGGATTCACCGACCCGGTCTACCGTGCCAGACGGAAGGAGTTCGCAGACATCGCCTTCAATTATAAACAGTGAGTGACACAAATTATTTATTTTGTTATGGAGTGTTCCAGTGAAACATGACTGTTAGCAAAAAATTTTCTCTTTTGTTAGTTATTTTTGCTACTAAGCGTCATCTGTAAATTATTTATGATGATGATAATGATAGTGATAATTTCACAAATGGATATTTTTATAACAATTCTGAATCCTAGATTCTGAAATTGATTCATATTTTCCACTTACGTTGCAAATATTTATGCCGCTATTGGCTGCATTACATTAGGCCTACTTGAAACTACATTTTTGTATCAAATTATTAAACATTTATTTCAGTGGTACGCCGATCCCCAGAGTTTCATATACAAAGGCCGAGGTAGACACATGGTAAGATGTTTTATCTGTATTCTGCTGGAATAATGCTCATGGTTCATTAATTTAATTTAGATTTGATAACTGTCAGAACATTGTATTAGGCATAGGCATACATATAAACAGCTGAGGTGAAAATTAAAAGTTGAAGATTTGTGATTTTTATGGGTTTTTTGTGTGTTTTTCCCTCTGGATGCTAAGATACGTGAATGGCACGACATATCAGTCGACTAAGTAAATGGTACTTTATAGAACACTTGAGGAGATTGGGGCTAAACTAAAGGAAAAAAAACGTTTACAAAAATCAAAAATAAAGTCTATAACCTTTACCTTTCACTGTCCGCTATTTAATTTTGCTGTGTTCGTTTCAGGGGGACAATATTTCGTGAACTGACAAAGCTGTACCCTATGCATGCGTGTAAAGAGTTTAATCACGTGTTTCCGCTGCTGATTGACAACTGTGGGTACCGTGAGGACAACATCCCGCAGTTAGAGGATATCTCCAACTTTCTTCAGGGTATGCATAAAGTGCAATATTATTACAAAACAAAAACATTGTCTTTTCTTTACTCAGAACATGTGGTAACAATGCTTATTTCAATGCACTAGTCTTTTGTAATGTCAACTCTCCCATAGATGCCCTTTTCGTATTTCGTAGCGGGGGGCTATGTCTTTTGGACACCAGTAATCAGCCCCAAATGAGGCATATGCCCTGTGGAGGCATATGGTAATATCACCGCTAATTGTCCCGTCTCCGCAATACAGTTGGACATGTCCCTCAATATTTTGGCATTAAACAAAATCAGGCGGAAAGTAAAATCATTTCTCCGCTATCGCTCATACTGCCTCAAGGATTGGGGTTGGGATTACGGTTGGTCCGTATATGATTTTTCATGTTATACACTTAAGTTTTTTTTATTTTATTTTGTATTTATCATCGTTTAGACTGTACGGGATTTAGACTACGCCCAGTAGCCGGACTACTTTCGTCACGAGACTTCCTGGCGGGCCTGGCGTTCCGCGTGTTTCACTCAACCCAGTATATCAGACATGGGTCTAAACCTATGTACACACCGGAACCGTAAGTTTTTCACTATCTGTTTCAATTATTATTTTCTTAATATGTAGATCTAGATTCTATGTGGTTTTAATGTTATTAGATTGATAAAAGGACATTCGTATTTTATTTGAAAAAATAGGACATGTTACGCCATTTCATAAGCTAGTATTAAGATATATTGCCCATTAAGATTCTTAAATTATGAAAAGACGTAACTGACATCAAAGTGCACTAATAATAAAAATCAGGGACCCCAATATGCTCCCTGTATTTTTTGTTGTCTGAGCGGGTTTTTTTTCTCTCTTTTCACTATTTGCCGTCCCAGACTCGGGACAGGTTACACGGGAGAGGCTCGCCCAGCATTAGTAGGGAAGTTTTGCAGAAGAAAATGGGTAGCGATTGCATGGTGGTTGATTTTTATATTTCAAATCCCAGTTGTTCAAGAGCTACTGAAACCAACCATTCTCTTCTAGTGGTATGAATAGTTCTATACTGCTTTATAGTCAAAGTAGTGGGCTCAAAAATGAATAATCAAAGTTAAATGAACCTTTACACATAAATTTTGAAAATACATATATTTTAACTAAAAGTGAATTATTTCAGAGATGTCTGTCATGAGCTTTTAGGACACGTACCATTGTTTGCAGATCCTTCATTTGCACAGTTTTCACAAGAAATTGGTCTTGCGTCACTTGGGGCACCTGACGAGTATATCCAGAAGCTGGCCACGGTATTTAGATCTATTTAACGAAAATATAGTTGAGACGTGTGTCTGTTAATGCTTCAAGTCTGTTTAAATAAATATTTTCCTTTTTCTTTTACATTTAAATCAATACTTAATTTTGTTCTACAATGATTTAAAATAACAATACTTTTTGTTCATGCCAATAACATACTGATCACTTTGTGTAAATTCTACTAAAATGGAACAGAAATTGAAAATGTCACTATGAAATTAAGGTTGTCAACAGAGCCGGTATCCGTTGCCGTTCATTATATATATATGTTAATACCTTGTATTTGTTTGGTTTATATCGAATATGGAATAAATAAGTATAAAAAACAATAACAGGCAGCGCAGGTATAAACAAATGTTAATAGTTGTTATAATAGTGTTGATTGTTTCAGTGTTACTGGTTCACTATAGAGTTTGGACTGTGCAGACAGGAAGGTCACATCAAAGCCTATGGTGCCGGCTTGCTGTCATCATTTGGTGAACTTCAGGTATAGTGATGATTTACTTATTAAACAACTCCATTTTTCTCAAGTTTTATTTTCTTGTCAAGTTGAAATATTCTTGGTTATCTGGAGCGTGCAGCTTTAAACCTTAAGCGTTCGATGTACTATATCACGTATGAACAGTCACTTCTACAGTCTATCTATCTAAATATATATCTAAGTCTATAATGAATTAAATTACCAGTGGTCGTCACTTAAAGTTATAACTCTCATTTTGCAGTAAAACAAAGACTGAGTTTAAACAAGTTAATTAAAAAAACTAGACCTGCAAACATCCATTAAAATTAAGTTTTGATACAAACAAAATATAAATAACTATGTTAATTTTGTTTGAAAGTATTTTTTCCACCACGAAATTTCATTAAACAAATTCATGAATTTAAGCAGTGGTGCATTGAGAGTATTACAATAATTCAGGCCGGAAACTCTCGAAGAGTTAATACCAGCGTTTAAGATCAATGCATTTGTCCGCTTATGATTTAAAAAACATTATAATATTATCGTTTTATTGAAATATCTATAGTTGTATAAACATAATCATACTAGTATAAACATAATCATACTAGTCTGAATTGTCTTATTCATATCGCACTGTAACAGTTTCAAGTACAGTGTACATTCAGTCATTGATCATTTTAATATCACCCGAGAATAAAGTTTGTTTCAAACTTTGTTATGTAACGTACGAGGGTTGTTGGACTTGATTGGGAAGTTTGAAGAATTCTGTGATACTATTAGACAGGGTGCGAGAAAAGTCAACAGTAACAACAACAACAACACCACCACCAACAACAACAACAACAACAAAAATAACAAAAACAAAAAAAGAATATATAATTATATCTACAAATGCATATGTGTATATGAAAAAAGTCAAGACAGTGTCGAGCCACTTTAAAGTGTTTCTAATACTAGGATGGTGTTTTTTTTTAATGAATTGTACACAACACGCTGTGAATGAATTTATCACACATGTATATTACAGTACTGTTTGACGGAGAAACCAGAAACACGACCGTTCGAGCCTGTAAAGACAGCGGAACAAAAATACCCGATCACCGAGTTCCAACCCGTGTACTTCATAGCCGAGAGCTTTGAGTCGGCCAAACAGAAAATGAGGTTTGTTTGATTGATTAATTGATTGATTGATTGATTGATTTTTTACATTCTTAGCTGTTTAGTTTTATTTTCTTTCCGGAATGCATTTTTTGATATGAGTTTTATCGTAAGCTTTGCAGGAATATTGTCTATTGAGAAATGAACAGAAGATATGGTAAGATATCTAAATACCCTACACAATTTTAACAACCAGACGTATTTTGCAATACGGACAAGCTTGTCCATTCGCACCACATTAGATTAACTCTTAAAATTCAATTTTGGTAAAAAAGCTTTACTATGCTTTTTGTAATACCCGTACGTTAGGGGAACCACTGAGGACTGAGGTGCTCATTGACCGCTGTACAGGGGCTTACTTTTTTCTTTGTATAATTGCACGAATGTGAAATGTAACAACTTTGAGCTTTAAAAATTAACTCTTTCAGGGCGTGACTTGTGAAATTTCTGGGATCTGTATTCAACAGCAAAAGCTGCTTTTTGTGCCTCATAAAGCATATACAAATGTACTACATACATGAATGATATGGGAGCTTTTAGTTTATTTTCATATATAATTCACGTGACTCGGAGTATTTCGTATGACCATAAAAATATGAAGGAATTGATTTTGATGATTTGACAAATTTGCCTTTTACATTTTTACAGAGAATTTGCAGCAACTATCCCACGCCCATTTTCGGTCACGTACAACCCCTACACACGTAGTGTTGAGGTCCTCGAGAATACAGGACAAATCCTCAATCTTGCAAAGAATATTAAATGTTCGTATACTTTATTTATTTTTTCTGTCTATTTCTTCTTTCTCCTTCTTTATTTCATAGTGCATCAAAGAGTTTCTTATAATTTTATATAAGTATAAATAGGTACAGAGGGTAAAGGTGACTGTGTAAAATTAAAGGTAAACTTATTTCACATTTATCTCTAATTTCTTCAGCTAACATGCTCTTAAACCATTACATGTATTTTAATGTTGTAAAATTCATATTTGTACTTTCTAAAGAAGTAAAAACGTTTTCGCTTCTGAGGCATAATGGGCCTTTAAAGATTTATCAATCGTTTACTTTAACAGCTGAGATGATGCTCCTGGAAGACGCCTTAACAAAGTTACACCAGAGCTAAATATATGCACATTGTTAGACAATACTTATATATAGTTATGACGAAGAGAAAATTGGGAATGGACTATAGATGGAGATTGGGAAAATATTTGAACTGGATTTGATTGCACCTTCGTTGCTTCATCTGCTACTTTTTCAATCGTTATTCGCTTGATGGAATGATTTGATTGTTTGAGTGTACCCACCCAGAATATTAATTTTATCAGTGTGAATTGTGTTGATGCTGTTGTTGTTTTATTTTAATGTGACAATTTTTTAGACAAGGTCAGAATGTGTTTTTAACAGAGTAATGTATTGGATTTAATGAACTTCAAGAAACATGCTTTAACTTTGTGGAAATTTGTAGTACAATGTACAATACTTTATATTTATACTGATGCATTTTGCAAATTAGGGTTTGGCTTTGTTTTTTATGATTTAAACCATGCATACATGTTCTATAATTTAATTTTGGTGGTATTATTTTATGTAATTTCGTAATTTTATTTAATGTCATTTTTTGAACATTTTTGTTCTAATGAGTATACTCAACATAATTAAACGTTGTGATATAGGAATTTTTCATCTTACGCGTATAAGTAATTGAGAGAAATCTAACATCACCAAATTTCTTAAAGTGTAAACAAGGATATTGGTAGACGATAACATACGATGCTTAATTTCAAAATTTTGATATAGTAAAATTTACTAAATGGCAGGCGACAATGTTTGAAGCTTAATTTCAAAATTTTAATAGTAAATTTTACTCGTAATTTACATTATACAATTATTATTTTGCAAAATGAAAACCATGAAAATAGAAAAGACGAGTAGTATGTAGAAAGTTCAATCAGTCATATTGACTTTTCTACGGTTTAATTTTTTTTATAATAACATGTATTGTTACATCTAATTGATCATTGGTGTATGTAGTGCATTTATTGCTTTTCTACATTCTAGTAAGTGTTTCATGTTATCAGATAAATTGTTTATCTTTATCAAAATGTCGGTTGCTCGATACTGTACCGGCTTTTTCATATACACATAAAAATATATATTTGTAGATATAACTATATACATGTCATCAAAATTAATAATAAATTGCTTGTTTTTATCAGAATGTTCTGTCTGTTTGTTTTAATTAAACATATATAGCACTGTCCACAGATGCCTTACTATATATCAATCTGTACAAAGCTATTCATCATCTTTAGGGAAAAATGTAAGTAACTACTGACTGAATAGCGAATGGTGCATGCAGACACGTGCTGGTTGATCTTGGTCGCAGGGCTAGAATCGGCCCCCGCCAGCAGGATACGAGCCTATTACCCATAACAAATATCAGAAACACAACATCCTTCTAAAACTCAGATTTTCATTATTTCGGTAGGAATTGAGGTCATGCACAGTTAGTTATTGTAAAAAGAACGTTATGTACTAAAAATATAATTGTCAAATTGATTATATCCGTTTAGATGATCTTCTTCACAGCAATATAAGTCTCAAAGCTCTACCGTAAGAAAAGTAAAAGCAAAAAGTCCAAGTAAAACTGTCGCTTACTGGACCGGCGATTTGTTAATTCTTTCTGTATATAAATTGTATAAAATTTCGGAAAAATACACCATTTTCTTGAGCCAACCTTTTAAACACCATTTGTCTGATTCCATTGTAGATTCAATTTTGTACAAGTTTGGAGGGTCTTCGTTGCACACTGCAAAGCCCAAAGCCCTAACCCAAGAAATATGTCCGGGAGATTTCAACATAATATGGACGTTTTTTGGACTTGCTATTTGTTCTTTCTGTATATAAATTACATAAATTTTCAGAAATTACTCCATTTTCCAGAGCCAACCGTTAAAATACCATTTGTCTGATTCAAATGCAGATACGATTCAGGACACATTTAGAGGATCTTCTTTGCAAATTATTAAGCCCAAAGCCCTAACCCAAGCATATGTCCGTGAAATTTCCGCGTGGCATGGTCGTTTAAATTGTATAAAACACCATTTTCCTGAGTAAACCGTTTAAACACCATTTGTCTGATTCAAATGCAGATTCAATTTTGTTCAAGTTTGGAAGGTCTTATGTGCACAATTTAATGCCCAAAGCTCTAACTCAAGCAATATGTCCTAGAGATTTCCGCGTGCCATTGTCGTTTCTGGACCGTCGATTTGCTTTTTTCTCTCTATAACCATTATTGAGGTCATGCACACTTAAAATGAAGCTACATACTTAAAAAATAAATGTAATTATCAAGTTGATTATATCGGTTTAGATGATTTCCTTCACAGCAATATCAGGCTCAAAGGTCTACCTTAAAAAAGTAGAAGCAAGAGGTCCGAGGAAAATTGTCGATTTTTGGGCCGACGATTTGTTCTTTCTGTATATAAATTGTATAAATTTTAGAAAAAAAACCAACAACACCATTTTCTTGTGCCAAACGTTAAAATACCATTTGTCTGATTCAATTTTGTTCAAGTTTGGAGGGTCTTCTTTGCACAATATAAAGCCCAAAGCTCTAACCCAAAAATGTGTCCGGGAGATTTCCGCATGGCATGGTCGTTTTTTTTTTTCATGAACGATTTGTTCTTTCTGTACATAAATTGTATAAATTTTCGGACAATACAGTTTTTTCCAGAGCCAACAATCAAAACACCATTTTTTTTTTATTCCAATGCAGATTCGATTTAAGGGTGTTCTTTGCACAATATAAAGCCCAAAACCCTAACCCAAGTGATATGTCCAAGAGATTTCAGTCTGGCATGGTCGTTTTTTTTTGTTCCGGCGATTTGTTTTTTCTGTATATTAATTGTATAAAAACACCATTTTTCGGAGCCAACCATTTAAACACCATTTATCTGATTCCAATGCATATTCAATTTTATACAAGTTTGGAGGGTCTTCTATACACAATATAAGACCCAAAGCCCTTACTCAAGCTATATATCCTAGAGATTTCCGCATGGCATGGTCGTTTTTGGACCGTCGATTTGCTTTCTTTTCTCTCTATAACCGTTAATCGACTAAAAAGCAACATCTGAAGACAACATCCTTCTCAAACTGAGATTTACATTATTTCGATACTTTATATAAATGAAAGTAAGTTTATTGTGACAGGTAAACGTACTTTAGAGAACTTTTATATAGATATTGAGGTCATGCACAGTTAGTTATTTTAAAATGAAGCTATATACTTAAAATTAAATGTAATTATACAGTTGATTATATCGGTTTAGATGATTTTATTCACAGCAATATATGGCTCAAAGGTCTGCCTTTAGAAAAGTAAAAGGACAAAACCCCACCAGTTAAAACCCCACACCTCAAAATTATAGAGTGGACAAAACCCCACACCTAAATTTTACAGAGCGGACAAAACCCCACACCTTTTATTTTACAGAGTGGACAAAACACCACCGCTTTTAATTATTGCGCAAGATTTAATGGATTAAAATACATATAATATACATATATCTTATATTACTCATATATGCTATATATCTAAGCAGTTAGTGAAAGGTTTGGGTTATTTGCACGGTGTGAACATAGTGCACAGGGATCTGAAGAGCAGCAATATTATGGTGGATATCTTTGGTGTGGTTAAAATTGCCGACTTAGGTACCAGTTATATCTATGATCAATATGACAAGAAAAATGATAGAGTTGGCACACCTCGCTCGATGGCACCGGAAGTTGTAACAAGGTAAACATTGCACTATAAGAATTTTACTTTACTTGTACACAATATACCTACATTTAAAATTTAAACAATAATATTCAAAATTTCTTTTGTACAGTTTACTTTCAATACGGTCTAAGTAATGGTACTTTGAATTAATAAAATAATTTCTTCAATTTAAATCAAAATAGAAAAAAACACCGAAGAAGGTATCACAGCATATTCATGCATATCGAACGATTTTATTCGCAACTTAGAACAATCATAGAAATTCCGCATATGTTAACATAATATTCACACAAGATAACTTAACATAAGGTCTGTATAAAACAATCTCAAATTGAACTTTGTTAGAGAATTATTTGTATTTTCTAGGTCAATTAATAATTGTATTCGCCATTAAACCGCCCAATGTATTTTCTTTTATAAAGGTTCGCGACTTCTTTTTCATATAAAGTGCAAAATACATTAAAAAATGAAAAAGAACTAACATATTCCATATACAGGTTAGGTTTATAGCATGAAACTTGAAAGTATTCTTAATTTTTCTTCATTTTAATAAATTTAACTTTTTATAAAATCCAATAATATCAATAGCAATAAAATAATAATGTTAGACACCTGACTGACACAGTGGCCAACATGCGCGAGCATATTTTCCCGTTTTTCACAGACGAATTGTTATGAAATTTTAGCAAAAGGCTGATCCTTTTTAAATTTTGTATAACATCAACAATTAAATCACAACTTAATAAAAATGTCATTTAGAGTTGTTAGACAAAACGCAGTTTAGGGAACATTCTTACGAGAATTGATATCATCCCCAGGTAGCCATTGTAAAATGAACGCTACATATTTAAAAAAAAGAAAAGAAAAAAAAAATGGAATGATAATTAGATTGTGATGTTTCAGAGGATATTATTCACAGCAATATAAGTCTCATAATAGCATGAGGCCCGCATAAAATGATCGTTATTTTTTGACCGGCGATTAGTCCTGTAAGTATATAAAGTCTAAGAAATTTCGTTAAAAAACACCATATTCTACCGTCCGCCTTTCAAACACCATTAGTCTGATTCCGTTGAAAATTCGTTTTTGTACATATTCAGGGGGTCTTCTTTACACAAAATGAAGACCAAAGCCCTAACCCAAACAATTTGTGCAGGAGATTTCCGCGTGGCATGGTCATTTTTTGGACCCGCGATTTGCGATTTGTTCTTTCTGTATATAAAGTGCATAAAACACAATTGTCTAGAGCCAACCGTTAAGTAACCATTTGTCTGATTTTGTTACAAATTCGTTTTTTTACAACTTTAGAGGGTGTTCTTTGCACAAAATGAGTATCAAAGCCCTAACCCAAAGAATATTTCCAGGAAATTTCCGCGTGGCATGGCCATTTTTTGGACAAGCGATCTGATTTCAACTTTATATAAATGCATAAATTTTCGTAAAAAAACACTATATTCTACAGCCAATCGTTTAAACACCAGTTTTCTAATCCTATTGCATTTCAATTTTGTACAACTTCAGAGGGTCTTCTTTGCACAAAATGAATACCAAAGCCCTAACCCAAACATTATGTCCAGGAGATTTCCGCATGGCATGGTTATGTTTGGACAGACGTTTTTTTCTGTTTATAAAGTGCATAAAAACACCATATTCTAAAGCCAATCATTCTGACACCTTTTGTCTGATGTCGTTGCAGATTTGTTTTTGTACAACTTTGGAGGGTCTTCTTTACACAAATTGAAAATCAAAGCTCTAACCCAAAAAAATATTCCAGGAGATTTTATGCATAGCATGCTCATTTTTTGCACCCGAGTTTTGTTCTTTCTCTATATAAAGTGCATAAATTTTCGTAAAAACACACCATATTCTAGATCTAATCGTTTAAACACCAGTTGTCTGATTCCGTTTTAAATTCGTTTTCGTACAACTTTGGTGGGTGTTCTTTGCACAAATTGAAAATCAAAGCTCTTACCCAAAAACTTTTTCCAGGAGATTTCCGCATGGCATGGTCATTTTTTCGACCGCTGTTTTGTTCTTTCTCTATATAAAGTGCATAAATTTTCGTAAAAACACCATATTCTAGATCCAATCGTTTAACACCATTTGTCTGATTCCGTTTTAAATTCGTTTTTGTACAACTATGGAGGGTCTTCTTTGCACAACATGAAAACCAAATCCCTAACCCAAGCAATATGTCCGAAAGATTCCCGCATGGCTTGTTCGCTTTTGGACAGGCAATTTGCGGTTTTCGATATTTAATTTTAGATCAACTTAACATTTGCAAAGTCATATCATGGAGACAAAACCCCTCCTGTTTTACATTATTTTACCGATCACAACTTAATAAAAATGTGATTTAGTGTTGTTAGACAGAACGCAGTTTAGAGAACGTTCTTACGAGAATTGACATCATGCCCAGGTAGCCATTGTAA